CATCAGTCAAACCAGATGTTGAAACCTAGAAATCTTCCAGGTCTTTTTCTTTTAACAATAGTCTGATCAGCCCTTCATAAACTTCACCTTCTGAAAAGTAAACCTTACCCCCCTGTGAGTTATCCAAGGTCACACTAAATCAAACAGCAAATCCAGAAAACTCCGATTCAGCAACTCCAAAAATGGTCCTCGCTCTTCTTAAAAGGATAAGAGGAAATGGACTTCAATACTGATTCTCTAAGAATGTTAATCAAATGTGGACTTATAATGCCTGCAGATACTACATGTTATCTAGGAGACATTAAACTGAAATGAGCCCTTCAGGAAAGGATATTTTCTAAAAAGGAACAGGAAAACACAAGAAGGGCAATCTGTATTTATAATTAATTAGAGGCCTGGTGCACAAAATTCCTGCACTGGTAGGGTTCCTAGCAGCTGCTGGCTGCTGGCCGGGTACTCCCTCCCTTCCCCCGGCTGGACCTGCTCCCTGGTCAAACTCCCTGATGAACTCCTGGCCGAGGGGACAATTTGCAGACTATGCTTTTATTATATAGGATATTGAAAAAATAATTTGAATTAAATTCTGATTGTGACTCCCCTAAACCGGCTCACCAAAGTGAAGTTAGCATGAGCCAGAATCAGCATCAGCATATTGTATAACCTCTCAGGAGAGGGCACAATAAGGCTTTTCAGCTGCAGAAAACACCAATGTCTTTGGAATAGTCCTATGTTCCAATCTCATGAGAAGCCACTTAAAAATAAATAAGACTGATGCTAAATTCTTAGATACACAGCCACACAACGAGAAAGTTCAAATCAAAGCCAGGTTTTTAGCCTACAGTGCTAAAGAATGAAAGCCAAGCAATTAGAGCTGAGAAAATGCATTCTACAGTCTTACAGCAGGAGACTGAGCTCAGTTATAGTAAGGAAATTCTTGTCTAGGTGCTGGAAATAAGACATATTTTTTAAAAAACTTTCTATTGGTTTTTAGAGAGACAGTGAGAGGGAGAGAAACACTGAGCCTGCAGCAACCTGGGCATGTGCCCTGACCGGGAATTGAACTGACAACCTTTCAGTGCACGGGATGATGCCCAACTGAGTCACATCAGCCAAAGCTAAACAAGTCATCTTTTTATCAAATACAGTTCAGTACAGGAAGGGACAGGGCAGAGAGAGACTGCACAACCTACCAAAGCCTGGAGTTTTTGAAAAACATGAGAAGTCAACTACCTCTGCAAAAAAGTGAAGGTTAATGAATGAACTCTGAATGTCTTTCCTAAATATATAGGGCTCACCTCTCCTATATTTATTACTCACACCAACCAGGAAGCCCACAAAGAATTGTGTACTTGGCCTGGCCAGCGTGGTTCAATGGTTGAGCATCAACCTATGAACCAGGTCACGGTTCAATTCCCAGTCAGAGCACATGCCTGGGTTTTGGGCTCGATCCCATTGTAGGGTGTGCAGGAGGATCCCTTCCTCTCTGAAATAAATAAATTTTTTAAAAAAGAATCATGTACTTCATATTTCTTTGAAACATTCATTTCTTCCATCACCGTTGCCCCAAGCAACATCATAAAATTATTCATAGGAAGTGCGGCAGGGCAGCTCTTTTCACCAAATCTCTTCCTGTATATTAGCACAAAGGGCTAAAAATAAGTACAATCCCTTTGCTACAGTTTCTAACCAAACATAATTTTTTAGAAGGCTTGTTTTTCCTTTCCTGGCTAATCTTCATTTCCTTTTAATTTTCTCTTTTACAAGAACAAAACCCATAATTTCATCTAGAAATGGACTATCTCTGTTTTAAGCAATATGTTTATTGAAAACAACACAAACACCCTTCCCATGGAGGGAGGACAATCTGGGACAAAGCACACCGAGGACCTGGGAGACGGTTTCTAGTGCTGTTCCTACGGGAGGGGACCTCAAACACCAGATGGCTAGAAACAAAACTTATAAACATGTCATATTTCTACATCATCAGTCAGAGCTCAATTGAATTTTCATAACAATGAACCTTAATTATAGCCCAACGTTTAGACAGAGTGGGACATGATTTTAGTAGATGTAAAACTTGATTTGTTTCCACAGGTGAGCCTTGATCATTCTGTCTTTCATTTCTCTCAGCTTTAAAATTAAGATATCTTTTGATACCTTCCTTTTTGCCAATAGAAGCTTAACGATGAAGTGAAATGCCTAACTCACTTCAAAAGGAGTTACTGTGAACACGCTGGGAGGGGCTGGTTGGAGGCAGGATGGCGCAGGCAGTGCACTGAGGAAAGGTGCGGCCACAGGCATTAGCCCTTGGTCTGTTTTGAAATTTTCAACAGCACAGAACAAGTAATTTTCCTCACAGGTTATCTGATTAGGGTAATGCAAACTGAGAACAAGAGACTTTACCCATCTGTGCGTGGGTTACACAGAGGTACAAGCAATAAACTCCTTTCATTTGAGCTGAAAATTTAGGCTTAAATAACGAATGGTGGAGATGAGACACAGAAATCACAGAAACAAGTATGTGGCATACACAGACAACCAGGACCTGTGATGGAGAGCTTTAATCACCACATGTAAAAACAATATTTTCACATATCAAAAATGGCTCAAAATTATTTACCATCATCACCACAGTGGAGAGATGAAAGTCACACTAGTACAAAAACCTTCCTGTTCATAACAGCAAGATTTATGAAACTTTCTTTATAAACACATTTTTTTTTTACCCTGAGGCTGATACCACCAAAGTGAAAAAGAAAGGTCACTATCAGCTGGGATTCATTCAATGTAGAATATTTTAAATCACTGATTCTTTAACCTGGAGTGGCTTCTCTTCCCTTGCCCACCCCTACTATGTGATGCCAAGAAGAAAAGGTGACAAGTGGATGGGTCCAGGCCAGCATGTATAACATACTGACACCATGATTCTCAACTCAATCTACTGATCAATACAGAGAAACTGAATTTTAATGTCAATTAACTCAATGCTGTCACATTAAAAAATGATCTCAATTGGCTCTTTCTTGTAAAAGGAGAGTTAACAATAGATTCTCAAATAGTTCTTTCTTACAATGTCTACTGCAGTGCACTCTGCTTCCTACAGATGAGCCAACTAATTAAGTTCACACAGACTGCCTTGCACATCTCAGCTCTGGGCTCTTAGTCACCCAGAGATGAAATCTGCACATGTCTAAATGAAAAATAACCCCCAGACATTATAACAGTTATTCCAGTCAAGTGATGGGAGAGGAAATCATGTTAAATCAGAAAAAAATAAAAAGACAGCCATGTTGGAGACTATGTAAACATTTTGGTGTGTAAAAATAAATAACACAAAAGATTTTCAAAAATCTAAATTCCTAATGTCTCTAAGGAAGTTCTTTGTGAACAGGGCTAGAGCAATGGTGTACTACCATTTCCAAGGCAGCCTGTGGGCTTTTTCTGTTATTTCCATGATGATTTCTGACTGTTTCTAAAATATGTTCTTTCTAAATATTCACAGCACTTCATCAAAAGTGGCTGCTAGTCCGCATATCTGAGTCAGGAAATCTTTGCTGTCATTTACTTTTAATTGGTATTATACCAGTACAAGCAATTTCCTGTGTACTACTTACTTTCGACTCACAAATACGAGTGTTCTTGGCTATAATAAATGCGGAGATAGTAGGTAAAGAATTACCAACCTAATCTTGCTCCATGCTCTTCATTTTTATTATGCTTAGATGCCTTCCCAACTCATATGGCTGAACTGAACAACACAGACATGAACATTTACTGGATTTTTCTTGAGAAGTTAAATTGTGTTCACTAACTCTCAGCTAAAACTTGGCGAGGATAATGAAGATAATCCAGTATTAGATTGAAGGTTTTCTTGAAAATGATTGATACAAGTGTTCTTTTTTTTTCTTTCTTCCAGGTAGAACTATTGAAAATCAAGGTTGTAAAAACTGTTAACAATTGTATGGCCAATCCTGATCTGATACCTGTACTCTCATACAACATATCTGCCAAGTTGTCCGGCGTCTGCCAGAATACCTTTAAGGGCAGGAAGCTGTTGCAACATTACTTCTCCTAGAATTGGATAGCAAAACAGAAAGAACAGGGAAACAAACTTCCATTAAACATGATAATGAATTTTGTCTAACTTTTCAAGAGAGTTAGCAGATTGTCAATTGCTACTGAAAGGAATAAACCAGATTTGTTCCATGCATCCAATGATTCAAAATGGGGAAATACAATTCAGAAGTGAATTTTATATATCACTGTTGAATAGCTGTGTGTGTGTGGTAGTTGGGAAGCAGATAAAAATATCTTACAAGTAATCATTGTCAGAACCCCAAAACAAAGGGAAAATATGTGTTTTAAATAGTAAATAAAAGTTTTGCTTTAAAGCTGCAATAAACACTGTGTGCAGCAAGTCTCAATACAAGAATTCCAGAGCCTCTGTGGATGAACTGCAGGCTAACGACAGCTGCGGCACTTGTCAGTTCAGATGCAGGAGACAGCGGAGTGACAGGAGCAATCTGAGACTGCAGCCTGCGTCCTGGGCGGACAGAAGCAGGGCACTCTACCTTGATTTTCTCCTTCTGGCTTGTTTGGCAGGACTGCAAATAATTTTCTTATTTCCTACTTCTCTCAAGAATACTCAGGCTGCTTCAAGGTTTCAGAAGAACAACAAAGCAACATGTAGATTAGTGGACAGTAACATCAGAATTCAACTTACAAAGGTTCAGTTCCTCTGAAGGAACCAGCTTATGTCTATAACTTATTTTCTGAACATATATAGGAATCAGTCTATCTCACCTGAAAACATTCATCCTGATAACACACACAGAAACTTCTTTAATAACTCTAAATGACCATGCTAACTGAGACTCCGCTGATTCAGTTTTGAGTGGTATCTTTCACCGCAAGGTGTTAAAATGGCAATGGTGTCCATCTTTAACAAACAAGACGGTGAACAACTAGCAGAAACAAAACAACAATAAAACCAACCTTAAAGTCAGTATGTCTTTTTATAGGGAGTCCACTTTTTTTCGCATGTCTGTTTGAAAAGTTCGCATGTCAGATAATTAACATTAGTGGCTAGATGACATGAGAGCAAATCTTCCTGCAAGAAAGAATAAACTTCCTTGACCACTGAGATTTGTAAGTTGGATCAATTAAAGTCTATTAAGTACTCAGGATAGATCTGGTTGGCATCAAACACCACAAAGATCTTTGGATTCCAGGTGTCGTCCACACAGCTGTCATATAAGTTCACATAGCTACCGTCTTTGGAAGGAGGTCGCATGTATTTGGAGTCTCCATTTATATAATCTCCAATCAGCACTCGAGCGAGAAACATAGATTTATATGTTCTAAACAGATGCCGATTTTGCAGGCTTACACCATGAATTTGGAATGTGTTTCCATGTTTTATGTCATCTTTGCAGAAGCGACTGGAGTAAGCAGCATCTCTAGCAAAATAGGTTCCTTAAAAAAAAAGAACCAAGAAAAAAGAAAGCTAAGATTAAAGACTACTCTGAAGAATAAATGAAACACAAGAAAAAAACATTCTGTTAGGGCAGTGGTCGGCAAACTCTTTAGTCAACAGAGCCAAATATCAACAGTACAATTGAAATTTCTTTTGAGAGCCAAATTTTTTAAACTTTAAAACTATATAGGTAGGTACGTTGTTATTAACTTAATTAGGGTACTCCTAAGGCTTAGGAAGTGCCACACTCACGGGGCCAAAGGGCCGTATTTGGCTTGTGAGCCGCAGTTTGCCGACCACAGTTTAGGGGAATAGACACATGGAATTGTATAACAAAAATTGATGTGAAATTTCCTCCTATGTAGATCTTTAAGAACAGAAGTTTATCTGTTATGGATGGCTATGATTCAGACTGCCATAGGGATAGATTTGTTAGTATGGACCAGTCCCCACCACCAACTCCATCACTCTGCACCAAAAAGTAGTGCCCGACTTGTTTTCAAAAAAAAAAATCTTACAAAGAATTCCAATATGTGAGACTGATACAAACTATTTCTGTGATTAAAAGTGTGGCAGGACCTGAGTTTTAATTGTTTGGACTCCCTCCCATTTCTATTTCCTTCCACCGCTTTCCTCCTCCGCTTCCCTATACAGCAGCCACTGAAGCCCTGGAGAGCACAGTGGGAACTGCTGGTCTACAGAGATGATTTCAAACCCCAGGTACCGCATTTCCATGATACAGAGCAACAATCCAATGATATGTCTGGAAATAATAGAACTCTATGTCCCGAGCATGCAATGCTGTTCACATCCGACCACCCAACAGAACAATTTCACTGGTTCACTGCCTATTTGGGAAAACTCAGTAAAGCATCTGACTCTTGGGAGGACTGACATCACTATGGGGACACTTACTCTAAAAATTTTTGAAAAGTAATTTCAATGTTTCGTATTACCCAGTACTGATGGGATTTATGTAACACTTTTCTGATCCTCTTACAGTTAAATAAATAAAATGGACTTTTTGGTAGTTATTTTTAAAATGTATTTACTTTTTAAAAATAAAGCACACCCTAATCCTAAATGGCAGTCAGTTACTTCTCTTGATGGAAGTAAGGTACAAAGCAAGAACCAGCAAAATAAATGTTCATCCCTTACCTAGGAGCAAATTCAGGTCCTAGAAGCAAATCTCCTCTCTTTAGAGATAATTGACTGTTCTGTAATTCAGGGGTTTGACAGTTATTAAGTTAAAAGTTATGTACGAGGTTCCCAGCACACCCTCAGAGGTTCTCCTTAATCTCTCTCCTTAATTTGCTTGGGTAGTGGGCATAAATTGGAGAACTTGGACTTTCATGACATTAGGAAAAAGGTGAGGATTTCCCCCATTATTCCTTATTGCTCATTAATATTCTTACTTATCTTTCTCTAAAAAAACAAAAAATACTAGTACCTAGACCTGTGCACAATGTACATTAATTTATTTGATACTTCTCTCTTTATCTGACATAAAAGTTTTAGTTTTATCCAAGCAAAGGACTTATACATGAAAATTAAATGTAATGCAAAAATCAGTGAACATGGACATGATGTCCTGCGAAGGACTGGGGGCGGGGCGCGGTCTAACCCGGCAGGGTATATAGGTCTTACTTCTATCTTGTACATGCAGGAGGTGGCTTTTCTGTAGCTCAGAACCTCTGAGGGTGTGCTGGGAACCTCGTACATAACTTTTAACTTAATAACTGTCAAACCCCTGAATTACAGAACAGTCAATTATCTCTAAAGAGAGGAGATTTGCTCCTAGGACCTGAATCGAACCTGGAATTCTGATAATTACCTTTTCCAAAGAGTGCACCATGTATACCGTTTATCCTCCAATCAAAGTTATGAATGCAAATTGCTTCCACAAATTCACTGCTGGTACCATGAAACAGCATTTGTTCATTAATCTGAGGCACACCGCTTTTTTTTTTTAGTTGAGCCTTTTTCCTAAAAACACAATACACACAGACATAAAATACACAGAAATATACCATAAGTGGCAGTTATTAATTTTTCAAAGAGAAAAATTCAGTAGAAAACATGAACCAGAACACCTTCTTTAACATAAATCATAAATGGACAAAGCAGCTCTGAAGAAGAATCTCAAATGCTCTTGGACACATAAGTCATCTCATCAAAAATTATTAGTTAACATTGAGACTTAAGGTTGAAAATTACACTCAAAACTATAGATATGTCAGATGATGCCCCATTATTAAAAAGGTGATTGCCTAAACCAGCCAAGTTTTACAGATGCCTAAAAATGGCACTTTAAACAATTAAATAATACAAAGTTCAGAGTCTTTAAACAGTGAATTCCTTGAGCAGGGACTATGCCTTTATCTTTTTTATCCTCAGAGATTAGAAAATATTGGTTGAATTAAACTTAATTAAGTCATCCAGTTCAACCTCTTCCCAATGGACAAATCTCTTTTAACAATATAGGGCTGATTGTAACAGTAAAAAACATACAAGCAAACTGAAAACAGCTTAAAAATCTTTCATAGAAAAATGAGTAAATAATTACTTATTTATACATGAAAGTTAAAAGTAATAAACTAGAGTTACATGTATTACCAAGTACCTCTTGAAAAATAATGTTGAATGTAAAAAGAATGTTGCAAAAAAAGGCATATGACTCAAAATAATACTGTATGTTGTATAAGTATACATGTATAGGTAATAAAGAATATAAAGATATGGACAAGAAGGTATCGCACCAACCTCACGAGGAAGAAAGAAAACAGGATGGGGTTGGGGTAAACACTTCACCTGTATCTGTAACGCTTTATATCTTAAAAAGAAAAACAAAACTGCTACAAAGAAGAAGAAAATGTGACAAATATTAAAATGTTAAATTTGATTGGTAGGTACACAGGTGTCTGTAAACTCTCTGCTGCATTTTCATTTTA